CGACCCCCCCAGCGTGCATTCCCCAGACTTAGTCCCGCAGACCCCCTCCCACGGCCGTGCAAAGATGCAAAGATACAAAGTACACGCACTGCGGCCTCGTGCGCAAGACAAAGAGATACTTAACGGGACTGTTACTTTATGCAAGACATTTCAGAGGCACGTAGTAGGACCTTGCAGAGAATTACACGGAGTTTGTAAAGAGCACACGCAGACACACAAAAGCAATTTCAAAACGGTTACACTGTGTGTGACTATTTATAAGACCTTCTGAGATGATGGCTTTGGAGCCTCGGAGAACAGATTCGAGGCTGCTGAGGGTGAAGGGTGCACAGACGGGGGTCTGCGTGAGACCCCAGACCAGCGCACCCACGGGTGCCCCCATGGGTGGATGTGAAAACGGGGAAGTGTGGGTTTGAGAGTGACGGACTGCACTCCTGCGGCGCCCAGCTGGGACCACGTGCTGCACTTTTGCAGCATCTTAGCCCTGGGGGGGGGGGGGGGGGGTGAGAACACAAAATGACTAAAAGTACTTTAGAAAATAGAGGCGCCTGTGTGGCTCAGTTGGTTAAGCGTCAGACGTCGGCTCAGGTCATGATCTCACGGTGCGTGGGTTCGAGTCTTGCGTCGGGCTCTGTGCTGACAGCTCGGAGCCTGGAGCCTGTTTTGGATTCTGTGTTCCCCTCTCTCTGTTCTCTCTGCCCCTTCCCTGCTTATGCCCCCCCCCAAAAATAGATAATCATTAAAAATTTTTAAATACAGCCTGCTTAAAAAAAAACTCTTTTAAGAAAACAAAATGAAGAACCTTCGCCTTCTTGGCTCCTGTCCTGGGATACTGCAAACGTCCGTGCATTTCATGGCTGCCTGTTGAGCTGCTGATAATTCCACGCGCCGGCGTTTGTACCAAACGGGGCAGACGTAGCTTCGGCCGCCTGCCGTCAGGACCCAGAGTGGACGCAAGATTCTGACAGCGACTCAGCCCCGAGCAGCGGCCGCAAACCACCCGCCCCCCCAACCTTTACAAGCCTCCCGGACTGTGATTGATGCTATGTGTTTCCTG